GCTTGTGTCCAGAGATTTTTCCTGAGACTGAGATTAGGAGCAGCCGAGTAACTAATCTGGTAGAAAAAATTTCAAGGCCTTCGAATGTTGAGGTGGTAACAAGGATACTGTTGCAGACTTTTAGCCAGATTGATGTTAAAAATCAAGAGCAAAGAGCCCAGAAGAATTTTAAAAGCTCTGTGGACCGCAAAGATAGAGCTGGGGAGATCTTGATTGCTGAGAAGCAACAGGAGAATAAAAAAATGGCCTGAGGGCATTACAGGAAGCAGCAGTACCACACCCTTTGCAGCCTCAAAATTGCAAAAGTGAAAGGTTTTGCTTTGAGAAGAAAGCCAAGGAGCACTATGTTCCAAAATGTCAGTGGCTGCACCATGTTCCAGACAGGTGGCAGCATAGAAAGTTTGTTCCTCAAACATGGCTTCAGAGTGCTCAGTGATCCAGGCACTTGACCCCTACAGCCAAGAGATAAGGAAGCCTGGCTACTGCTCCAGCAGGCAGCAGACCTTGGCATCATCCACATAGTGCTGGTTTTAGGTACATTGAAAATGGAAGAGTTATGGGGTTAGGAATGCTTCCACCTTGATTTCAGAAGGCCTAGGAGACAAGGTAATGTGCCCCTGTGAGGGCAGTATATGAAGCCGTGAGGGTGAAGCCAAAGGTGCAGTGGTGACTGCCGAAGTTTGGAAAAGCCGGGAACGTGGAATCATCTAAGAAAATCTACAAGGAGGGGGCAAAGTAGGGCTAAGAGAGAAACCACAGGAGCTATAACTACTGAAAGTGCCATAGGGGCAGAGTGCCCCAAGCCCTCTGAAGCTCACATCTTACCACTGATTGCCTTAGACGCTGCACATGGAACTACAATACTTAATATTTGCCCTGCTAGATTTTGGACTTGCTTTGGTCCCATTTCTTGTATCCCCCTGTCTGTAACTTTTGAAATGGAAATGTTTATCATGTGCCACTAAAAGTTGGAAGTGTTTAACTTTCGTTTGTATAGGGGCTCACAGCTAAGAATTTGCCTTACATCTCAGAGGAGATTTGGGACTTAGAGTTTTTAGCAGTGCTGAAACTGTTAGAACTTTGCAACTCCTAGAGATCGACTAAATGCCTTTGTATAAGGGATGTGTATGAGTCTTTGGGGGCTCGGGGGGTGGGGAGAATGTTATGATTTATACCTGGATATCCTCCCAAAGCCTCATGTGGTCATAGGGGTGAGCTTTTCTGGAGGCAGCTAAATCTAGAGTTTGAGATTGGTTCATTGTCTAGTACTAGGATTGGGAGTGTGAGTGTTACACCTGCCCTAGGGCAGGTAGCCTACATACAATATAAGGGAGAAAAAGAAGCTTGCTCCTCATTTGTGCTTGTTGCTTTTGCTGTCTTCTGCTGCCTCAAACTGTTGCCACCCTGCCTTGGAGCCAGCCAGTTATGCACTGAAACTTCTACAAATTATGAGCTAACTAAACCTTTCCTCCCTTAACTTGAAGTGGCCCTCCTGCCTCAGCCTCCCAAGTAATGGGATTACAGGTGTGTATAGCATATCCAGCTCACATCACCAGCCTTTTATCTTTTTTTTTTTTTTTTGAGACAAGTTGTCATTGTATCACTAAACTCTCTTGGCTGGGTTCAAACTTGCAATCCTCCTGCCTCACCCTTCCAGGGTGCTGGGATTACAGGTGTGGGCCACCATGCCAGCCTTAATCATTCCTATCTTTATCCCATGACTTTTCCATCCTGGTCTGCCCCTATTTCATGTCAATAAGATAGTCTTCCTTCAGAGAATTCTCCCATTTTCTTTCTATAGTTGCCTCCAAGTTCACATTTTAAAAGACACATCCTGAGCTGTGTGTGGTGGTGCATGCCTATAATCCCAGCACTTGGGAGGCTGAGGCAGGAGGACCACTAGTTCAAGGTAAGCCTGGAGTATACAGTGAGTTTAAGGCGGGCCTGAAGTACATCATAAGAACTTATCTCAAAAAAAAAACCCACCAAAAAACCCCAAAATAAAACAATAAATAAAATGGACACATCCTTTACCAGCTACTCATAGTTTGGCAAGTGCTTTTCCAATACTACTGCTATTTCTACTCTGGATAAGTCACTTACTATTAAAATTTAATGATAATCACTTACTCTTGTATCCTTTTTCAGTTTACAATTTCTTATTTATCCGTTATCTGTCTTGCTCCTCCCAGCATCTGTGAGAAGAGCAGAAAATGCAGAAAATAAGGCTTGGAAGAGCAGCACCAGTGTGCTGGTCACATAGTTAGTGAGTGGCAGGCACCAGTCTTTGTTCCCTACATATGAGGAGCAGCTTCAGATATTCTTCTATAATGAAAAGAATCCAACATAGAAGCCTTTGCTCTCTCTTTTGGAGGGATGTAGTAAGTTGTTTAGGATTATTTTGATTGGAAGTTTTTAAAAAAACCAACAGAACTCAAACTGGCTTAAACCAAAGGGGAATTTATTGGCTCCCACAATGGTGCAGGAGTAGGGCTCAGGTATGGTTGGATCCAGCATCCCAAACCTCCTCAGGATGCTCTCCATTTCTCAGCTTCCTCTGTATTTACCTTATTTTTAGACCAGCTTTCTGCTGAGGTATCAAAGACATTCCACTAGCTGTGGCTTACCTGAGCCATCAGAAAAGGAACATCTCTTGCTGAACCGCAACTGTCCTAGATGTCATTCTACTACTTTGCCAGGGTGAAGAACTAACCCAGGAACCTCACTGTGCCTAGCACAAGGGTGTATTCTAAGGGTCCAGACCTGAGAAAGGAACACTTGGTCTGTGTTCTACCAAAACAGGACCTGAACAAGAAGGAGGTTCTTCAAAGAAAAACACTTGTCAGATGTGACGTGGGCCGATTTTTACAGACCTGTGTTCTGCAGACAGGAACTGGGGACCCTTCTCAGCAAGAACCCCCAGTGCACATCCCACCTACTGAGCTTAGCAGGGGGTGCGGTGGGGAGGGGGGAGCAGGAATTAATGCAGAATAGACAGCAAAAAGGAGTAGTTCTGTATTCAGAGCAGGGTTTGGGGATGCTGGTGGGCCACCTCCCTGGTGCATGTGCTCTCCCCCAGGTTTGCTGCCCCCATCGCTGCTCCTTGGCGCCCGTGAGGGGCTGTGCTGGTCCCTAGCAGGGCCTCACATGTGTTTATGGGGTGGATAAATTAATGTATTGGTCGGCCAGCCTGGTTGGCAGGGCAAGGCTCCCTCTCTGTATATCAGTTCCCTCCTAAAGCTCCTGTTTTCCGTCTGTGAAGTGAGAGAAGTGGGGAACAAGACTCTCTCCCGGATTCCGCTCAGGACTCGGGGATTGCAGGGCTCTCGGAGAGCTCAGGGTACCCTTCCCACAGCTCCAATGGCGGCGAGGAGACTGAATTCATAGCGCGACTGTGCGCAGGCCGGGAGGCAGGGACTCACACAGGCCAGAGCCCAGTTTCATACAGCTTGAAAGGGTGGCGCCAGGGTCCTGGGCCCGGACCTGACCCAAGACCAAATAAAACCCCACTCTCATTAACCATCACCACCACTTCTTAAAAGAAATGGGTTTTAATACTAAGAAAGTAGGAAGTACCCGATTTTACACAAAACAAAACAAAAACTCCCCTCTCATCTAGAAAAAATCATTTAACAAATCTTTTTTCTTTTTTTCTTCAGATTGTTGTAAATTTCAACCACCCCCTGTGAGGTCCAGGGCTTGGGATCCACTCACGTGGATCGTGAGGCACGCGCACACGCAGCGCTTGTACCTGGGACGTGGGGCTTCATTTGCCTGCTCTAGTGAGAGGTTCCAGGAGCAGGTTCCAGCGCTCAGGCGCAAGGTCACAGTTTGTCGGGCTCTGTCCTGCTAAAGCCCAAGCCCAAGCCCGTGTTCAGGCCGGACGAGGGCCGTCCCGGCTCACCCCCTCGCGGGCCCCGGCGCTGCTTGGCGGCGCCGGGGTCGTCCAGGGCGGGGCCACCCTCCGCTGCGGTCCCTCTCGGTCCCCCTGGGCTGGGCCGGTCCCGCTCCCCAGCCCGCGCCCGTGCGGGCGGCCGAGGAATCCCCGCCGAGGCGTGGGAGACAGGGGGTTCCCTCTCCAGGTGTCGGCAGTTTCCTAGGAGACTGTGGGACCCTCCGCCGCCCGCGAGAGCCGAGGCCGGAGGCTCCGGCGCGGCCACGCGCGCGCGCTCGGCCCCTCC